ACTTCATATGGTTAAAAAAAAGAAAAAGAAAGAAAGGCTAATTCAATATATCCCATGATATATTTTGGAGGAAAAATGGGGCTGAAACAGAAAAACATTTCCTTCTTAAAACCTTAGTTGCAGTTTGTTATGAAACAGAACACCAGGTCTTCCTTCCCAGACACCAGGCTTCTTGTTGCTATCTGCCATCAAATCATTTTCAACTCTAAGAGTGACCTCCAAATAAAAATGTTCTAGCATTAATGTCCTTGTTCAGATGTTGCAAACTAGAGGCCATGTTTTCTTTTCCAAGCCCATCCCTGTCATGTTCACTCTTCTTTTCTTGCTGCCATCAACTTTTCTCAGCTTCATTGTCTTTTCCAGTTAATCTTGCCCTCCCATGATATGTCAAAGCATGATAGCCTCAGTTTAGTCACTTCCACTTCTCGAGAGACTCCAGGCTTGATTTGATATAGCACCCATTTATTTATCTTTGTTGCAGGTCCACGATATCTGTAAAGTATTCCTATAGCACCACATTTTGAATGAATCATTTTTCCTGCCAACTTTGTTCATCATTTAGCTTTCATACCCATGTACAGTAATAATGTGTACCATAGTATGGGTAATGTTGGTCTCGGTTTCTAGTGATAAATCATAATTATTTTATAGCTGCCCTTCTGAGCCTCAGACTTCTGATTTCTTGGCTGCAGTCTCTATTTGGACCAATGACTGAACAGTGATATAGAAAACCTTTAACTACTTCAGTTTCAGCATTATGAATATGAAATTCTTCTATTCTCTCTCCTTTTTTGGTGATTATTTTAAATTTAATTTAATGGTTTTTGTCTTTTTACTGCAGTTGCACTGCTGTGAAATGTCATTTTATAAAACATGCAATGAATATCAAAACATTCCTGTTCTCATTATCATCACTTCCAGATTTGCTCAGCAAAATATAGAGACTTCTTTTATTACATCTGCCATGAAGACTAAAACCTTGTACTTAGTCTTTGAGAACCAGTGAGAGGTAATAGTTACCACATAGGGCTTGGATGTCAGAGATATCCATTATAGTCCCACCTCAGCCATGAAACTCCCTGGGTGGTCTTGGGAGAATCACTTGCTCTCAGCCTGACCTATTGTAGAGCATTTTTATGATGATAAATGGGGAACTGAAGAGACATATACCTTGAGAGCAAAATAAGGATTGATTGATTGTATATAATATTAATATAAGAAAACAACATACTGTATGGGTAATCTATCTTATCACTTTATACTGTTTTAACTTTCTTGAAATGTTTTAATTGCTTCCACTTATTTTAAATATTACATGCATGTATTTTAATGGGTCGGAGACCGCAAAATAAAGATTGTATCGTATATACCTTGAGCTGGATGGCAGAAGGTTGGGTGATAAATGAAACAAATGGCTAATTCAGTTTTCTGGGATAATTCTGCAACACAACGTTCATTAATATAAGTTATATACTATACATTATATATATTAATTATCAGTATATAAATTTATAACAGATGTTCTTATCCCATCCCAATAATAAAAAATACAGGCATCAAAACTATTTAATATGCATCTATATAAAAATAATGGCAGTTGTCGAAGCTGGACGTTCCTAAGTGTTAAAGAAAGTACCTCATTTCCTTTAAAAGATCACAAAAGAGCAGAGCAAGTATGATAACTTTATTCAAATTATCAAAATGAGAACAACAGCAAACAACAACAATCTTGCAGGACATTAAAGGTTAACTAATATTATTTGGGGTAACTTTTGTGATCTATAACCCATTAATTTTGGATGCCACAGATACCTTTCTGGAAATTTATTTGAATCAGTCTGTGTTTAAAATCCACCACGCAAATGCTTTGAGTCACATAGAAATCTTCTACCCATGGAAATGGGTGAAATGTTACTAAAACTAAAGAAAGCAATCATAATTCAGTTCTGCCATACCAAAAATATGCAGTTGGATTGCTTCACATTTTGTGTAGCTGTCCCCCCCTACAAAAGGATTTTAGTAATCTTTGCTGTGCGAGAATCTCTCCTGAGTCCTTGGGATGTAACACCCACTAGAGTTTGAGAGATAGTTAGAAGCAAGCTTGTTGTCTGTATCTGGGCAAAAGAACATAGTGTGAGAGAGAGCTATAAGATGCCTGAAGATGAAGCTCCTTGGGGGCACAGTTACTATCTTTGAGAAACTGATCAGCTGTCTTGTCTTGTCTGCTGATGGAGTTCACTGAGCTCTGCTTGTATACTTGTAAACAAAATGGTACTTTAAACCTCTAGTGTTTACTTTCATCCAAAAGAAACTAAACCCTGTGATGCTGATCCTGAACTCTTCTTTGCTATGAAATGTGGCAGATCATAGTATAAGATAGTGGCATGTATAAATAGATGGTGGACATAACATTCAGCTCTGCTGACTAGCTAGAGCTTCCTATGAGACAACACACACAAAAATATGTTTTATCACTGTGAACAACAGTATGTGTGTTGCAAATATGGCATTAAATGAAACCACACATTCTTTTTCTAAACTGTAAATATTGAAAGTATGACAAATCTTATTGGACAGGAGACATTTTATCCTTTTTGGTTTCTCTCTAGTAACAAACTTACTGCTTAGGTATAATATGGCAAACACTGTTACTCAATGCTCCCTCAGTGTTTCTGTTATCAAAGAACTGACAGTTTCTTGAATGTTTTGAGGAAACAGGCTATTCCCATGCACAGTTAAAGTTGGAATGTGCCCAAGGTGACTTTCTCTCTCTTTTAAAGGACTCTTCAGTTTCCACACTGCCATAGTATAAGGTTTGCACTGAAACATGTTTTCCAGCATCAAATATGAAAAGTTGCACTTAGATGCACTCAGAACTTTGGAGGTATCTTGTAGGACATTTGAACTGTTGTCTTTAATCAACAGACTTTCCCACCTCACCTCATGGAATCACAAATCATTTCTGAAGCTACCCTAATATTCAAGAGCATCCTGCCAAACAGAGGATGGATTTAGAGTGGGAGGTAATCATCAAGGAAACCCTGCCAGACATTTAGTGTTAGTCACAGTTCTCTGAACTGTGGCCAGAAAATACTTAATTATTTGGTTGTTAAATAAAGGGTGTTTTTGGTCACTTAGTATTATGTTCTGTCTGTGACTTTGAATGTATGAGAATTTTGTATGATGATAATAAACACCCACCTCTCCCTCTCCCCCAAGAATAATTTGGAAGGAAAAGAATTTCTCCGGGCTTATCTCATGAAAACACACCTACATTTTCCCATGAAACAAGAATGACTCAGTGGTCTTGTTCAGCAGACTCTTGCCGAAGATTTACATTATTACTATCTTTATAGCAGTGAAACAGTATAATCAAACCATGCAGAGTGACTGTTCCTGCTCTTTTCATTCAGAGAATTTTGTGTGCTTGCCATCATGGTTTAGCAGCAGAAAGTTATTTTCATTCTGTGTTGACTTCCACACTGTATTTGTGGCCTGTATTTTGTACCCATGGTCTAGTTGTGTTGTTGTTGTTTAGTCATTAAGTCATGCCCGACTCTTCGTGACCCCATGGACCAGAGAACGCCAGGCCCTCCTGTCTTCCACTGCCTCCCTGAGTTGGGTCAAATTCATGTTGGTTGCTTCAATGACACTGTCCAACCATCTCATCCTATTTTGTCCCCTTCTCCTCTTGCCTTCACATTTTCCCAACATCTGGGTCTTTTCCAGGGAGATTTCTCTTCTCATGAATATCACTCCTTCATGGATCACTGCCTTGTTGTGGCGAAGGGGCTTGAGTAACTCAGAGAAGCTATGGACTCTGCCATGCAGGGACACCCAAAACGGACAGGTCATAGTGGAGAGTTCTGACTAAACGCAATCCACCTGGAGCAGGAACTGGCAAGCCACTCCAGTATCTTTGCCAAGAAAAGTCCATGGACAGAAACAAAAGGTCTAGTTGAACCCTGAGACAAATCTGAACTATGCTCAGATCATCATTCAGTGTGGCAAAAGCTGAGATCATGGCCATGGGTGAAATCACTCAGCCTGTCTTCAACCTTCACTACACCACATGCTTGTGGGGTAGAAACTGCACCCATCAAGGTAGTCAGGATGTTTAGCTTTCTACACATTTTCCCTGCTATTTCCAGAGAAGCTACTTCAGGTGAAACTAACTTGATATAGTTCTGGCAACATGACTATGTACTTCATCCATGGACTCTGACCACATTTTAGAACAACCTTCCATTTTAAAATCCAATTGAAATCCGTGAAACAGGACTGTATCTCAGCTTGCAATCTTTATATTAGAACAACCACACAAGCTTTCTCAATTATCCATTTAAAAAAAATGTTACTGGAAAATCTGATCCCATATTCAGCATTGTTAGTGCCTCTTTTGTGATATGAACTGCTGACTGTACAGTGAGTATAGGCACTCTGTTGGTTAGTTCCATCAAAATCATGGAGAATACCCCCTCCTGTGCCTAGGCTATTTTGTACAGATTTATTTTATTCTCACTTATAGGTGGACGTCTTTAGATGTTAAGATTTTGGCCAGTACTATTCCACAGAACGGCTGATATAGTTGCTAAAAATGGAAATAACCTCAGCATTTATAGAATCATAGAAGCATAGAATAATGAAGTTGGAAGGGGTCTATAAGACCATCAAGCCTAATACAAATCAAAGGATATTGGTCAGAGACTAGTGAAACATCAGGAAGAACAACCTTCAGAACACAGCCAAAGAGCCCGAAAAACCCAGAACAACCACTATTGGTCAGATGGTTGCCTAAATTTCTCTTGAATGCCTCCAGTGTTGAAGCATTCACCACCTCTCTAGGTAATTGGCTAAATTGCCCTACTGCTTTAACAGTTACAGAGTTTTTTCTGATATTCAACCAAAATCTGGCTTCTCGTAACTTGAGCCCATTGTTGCATGTCCTGCACTCTGGGATGATTGAGAACAGATCCTGCCCCTCCTCTGTATGACAGCCTTTTAAATATTTGAAAAGGCTATCATATCACACACACACACCCCAATCTTCTTTTCTCAAGGCTATACATGCCCAGTTCTTTCAGTCTTTCCTCATAGGGCTTGGTTTTCAGCCCCTGATAATCATTCTTGCCCTCCTCGGAATTTCTTCCAATATGTCAGCATCTTTCTCAAAGTGCAGTGTCCAGAACTAAATACATTAGGCTTAACCAGTGCTGAATAGAAGGCAAGTAGCACCTTGTGGGATTTGGAGACTATACTTCTGTTAATGAAGCCTAAAATCACATTGGCTTTTTGGGTAGCCACATCACACTGTTGGCTTATATTCAGCTTGTGATCTATGATGACTCATAGATCCTTCTCGCTTGTAGCATTGCTAAGCCAGGTATTCCCCATCTCGCAACTGTGTGTTTGCTTTATTATTTCCTAGGTGCAGTATTTTGCACTTAATCCCCATTAAATTTCATTCTGTTGTTTTCAGCCCGGTGCTCAAGTCTATCTAGATCATTTTGAATTTTGTTTTTGCTTTCAGGGTATTTGCTAGTCCACCCAATTTTGTATCATCCACAAATTTGATTAGCATTCCCTGTGTCCCCTAATAAATAAAATTAATAAAAATATTGAAGGGCACTGGTCCCAGTGTTCACCAGTAACATCACATAGGTGCTGTGATATTTTGTGAGAATTTTCTCCCCTCTGCCCCATGTTCTTAAAACTCTACTTCTAAGTTGTCACTCCACCCTTTCAAGCATGTTTCAGGCCTATGTTTCTTCTTCTCATATTAAAGGGTAGGTAAACATGCTTCACTTCTCATAATAAAGGCATTCATTTTTGATCATTCATCATCCTTTGCCTCCATTACAAGTACTGAATTGGATTTAGCATCACAGCCCTATTTACTGTAGCTGCTAATGACTGAAAATGTGGAAAGTTCTTTATGGTGGAGGATGGGATGCAGTCTTTTTATGTAGACATCTCCAGAGCTCCCACCACCCAGGCTGGATGCATACCGGACAAATTTTGAGTTTCAGGATCTTCATATGATTACAGGGCTGTGGAAACATCTGACAAAATACAGGGGAAAAAAAGAAATGCCAGAATGATGGGCATGTTGCAAACATGCATGAAAAGATGGAACAAGCGTGCTTTAGCAGTGGGGAATATGTATGGGCAGTGCATACCATGATGATGCTCATGAAAACAAACAAACAGAGCCCGAGTGTCAGTACATTAGCAATCCAGAAGTAGATATAGAACAGATTTGGGGGAAGTACAGAAATACACATTTGATAGATGTGTACATGCCTAGCACACTATAGTACTAAAAATAATACAGCTGGGTTTCCCAGTTGCCTGAAATCTGTATGAGAAGGCCATTTGCAAAGATATACTAAGATGGTTTTAACCTGGATACCTTTTTCCTTTTTCAACTTTCATTAAATCTAAATGCTGCCAATTTATTTAGCTGTAGATGGCTTTGTAAATATAGATGTAAAAGTCAAAAATAGGGTGATAAAGGCATCACAGCCTTCACTATGCTCATACATTTTCACTTCCCTGGCATCTCTCACCAAAAATGCTGCCAATTTATTTAGCTGTAGATGCCTCTCTCTCACCAAACCGGCTTTGCAGGATCCCCCCCTCCCCAAACTCTGTAAAACCTTGCAAAACCTCTTTGTCAAAGGCAACCCATGGGATGACTGTACACAACACAGGCAACAATGGCTTTCCCACTCCTCTTTCAACACTCTATGAACTTCACACGCCTGTGGAGACAAGTCTGCCAGCGAGACACTTCCATGGCAATGTTCTTTTTAGGGAGCCCTAGCAACTGACTGAGGAGCAGTGAATAATTTACTATGCAGTTTTCCAGTTTGGCCCTCTATAAATAGTCGGAGAGATTTCCTCTTTAAGTTGGCTTTACTTATTACTGTGGCTCTCAGTGGGGTGGGGATAAACCATATTTCTTCCATGGGGTGCTGGTACAGAGCACTTTTCAAAGTGGAATTATGAGCAGCAGACCTCTTGGGAGAAAAGGGAGAGAGGACAGGAAGAGGTAAGCATTGCAAAAGTTAACATTTTTGTCTGTCCTTCCGTGATAGTTGTTTGCTTTTATCATGCAAAAAACCAGCTGGAGGGGTGTTCCAGGAAGGAGCAACTGCACAATGAAAGTGTCTTTATTGATAAAGAGAAAGCACATTAATGCTAAGTGGGCTCCACATTTTAAGCTAAAATAGACTGTGCACTGATGCAGTGAATGTGATTTCAAATATATTCACTGGCAGCTTAATCATGAAGAGTTACTGCAGCAGCACACTAATGTTTAGCATTGAGCAGTAAATCATGGAAGTACAATGTTGCACTGGGACAATGTTATGCCAACACCATAGGCTGACTGAGTCTCCAAAATATTTACGATTACAGTGACAAACTGCATGCTCCATTGTCTTCCTGAAGTGGGAGGGGGAAATTCTTTACCCCCATCTGCACCCCACCCCTGCCACTAGAGATGATGTACCTTGGAATATTTGTCAGGGGTTAGAGAAGGATTCACTGAATGTTGGGAGGCAATGGATGCTGCCTTCCAGGAAACTTGTTTCATTGGAAACTTGGCCAAGGACAAGGACTTGTGGCAAGTCTGAAGTTTAGCACCTTGAAACACTTTTCTTATCTAGTGATTAATTCTGGCAAATGAGAGGAGATACGGGAAACTTGGCCAAGGACAAGGACTTGTGGTAAGTCTGAAGTTTAGCACCTTGAAACGCTTTTCTTATCTAGTGATTAAATTCTGGCAAATGAGAGGAGATACTTTTGAGCATACAGTACATGTCTTTTCCCTTTCCATTGTTGAAACAGAGGTAAGATAGTGAACAATACATATAGGTGTAAGAGCATAGCAAGTGTGTGTTTGACACTTGGTATTTCAAGATATAACTACTGTGTGCTATAAAGTCCCCATGGTTTCTAACCACTGTTTTATAGGATTTCTAATGAGGGCTAGAGATTGTCCTTTCAAATGGAATTTTCACACTCTCTGGTTCCTATTCTTTAAGAATTTCCATCCAGCTGCTTCTAGAGGTTGTTCTAGGATGGTCACTTGGTCACTGGAGGGCAGGGTATACATTTTTTCCTGAAGAAATAAACAAATTATTCATCCACTGCATGCTCTTAGTCATGCGGTTTCCTAGATTCTTTACATACAGTACTTCAAGTCTGGTGTAATTCTTCTCTTTACTGTATTCTGCAGGAAAGTTTCACTTTCGCAGCACCAATGAGGAAAATAAATAAATAAAAGGAGAATTCATTGCATTATATGCAGTCCTATGTTGTTGGGTGTTTTCTGGGACATAATGTATGACTCTTCGGTTTTGGTCTCACTGACAATAAAAACTGTTGTTGCATTGGGTTCTGCAACAGATTTAAAAAGATTTAAATGTTGATGTACACAGAAGATCTGTGTATGCGTGGAGTGAATGCTCCAGAGGGAGTGGGTTTTTCTGCTCTTCTGCCAGAAGTCTGTTCATTTTGAGGTGGGTGTAGAATTGATTGATTGGAATTGATTCCACATATGTGAACACCCCTGTATATATAACTCCTGCTATCTGATACAGCACTATACTTGATAGCAATGAGTAAAAAAATAATAATAAATAAAAACACCACAGTCCACTTGCCAAAAAAAGCCAACGCTTTACCAAAGAGCTCATTCCCAGCCATCAGTCAACCAAGCCCAGCCTTCCTTCCCTCCACTTTCAGCCCCTCCACTTCCTCCTGTCCCATCCTGTCCCTCAACCAACTTCTTCTCTTCGCCCTCTCACTGGTGCTCCCTCGTTCCCTTTACACCCCTCTCCCTCTCCTCCGCTTCCCCCTTCTAGATAGCCTTCTCCCCATCCAAATCCATCCTGGCTGAGCAGAGCCTCCTGATTGGAGATGGTAACGGAGCAGCAGGGAGGCTGAGGTGGTGGTGGTGGGGCAGAGGGGGAAGAGGAGGGGAGGCCAAAGTGGTGGTGGTAGTTGCAGGAAGGTCATCACAGCCGTGGTGGCGGCAGAGGGGAGGCTGAGGAGGCAGAAGCAGAAGTGCAGCACCAGCAGAGAGGCCCAATGTGGCTGTCGTGGCAGTGGTGAGGACAAATACAGATCTCCAGTCTTGGGGACAAACTCTGTCAAAGACTATTTGGCCCTCAGGCAAAGGACATGTCCCTGTCCTTCCCACACCCATGCTATTTACTGGATTTTGCCAATGTCAGGGGAGTTAAATGACTCCATCCTAGGAGACGCTTGTAGTGAAGAAAAGGGTTCTACCAGGATCTGATCAGATGGTGGTGGCAGATGGTTGGGGTTGGTTTGTCCTCTGTGGCATTGAGTTCTGTACTTCTTGCCTGACACAAGTCTGGCATCTCAGATTTTATGAGATATAATTTACTTACCCACTGCAAAGGCATCTATATACTGTATTTTCTTTTCTGCTGCATAACAGCTGTTTAATTTTGTACACCACATGTTAAAACTTTACGGTTCTAGGTTTAAGGTACAGTGAAAGGGAGATGGGCAATGTCATGGTGACCTGGAAGCAGCCCGATAGCACTACCACCACCACCGCCCCAGCCTCTCTGCCTCTTTCTCAGCCTCTCTTTTGCAGTGATCAACGGAACAGTTACAGTAAGAAGCTACCAGAAATGACTCGAAGGAGGAAGGGAATCACAGCAAGTAGTCTGTTGATGCTCCCCACAAGTCACAAGTTCAGGCAAGTAGGCAAGACACAAGGGATAACCCTTTGTTATATGGTTAACAGGATACAACGAAGATCTCTCTTCTCTCTCTCTCTCTCTCTTTCTCTTTCTCTCTCTCTCTCTCTCTCTCTCTCTGTGTGTGTGTGTGTGTGTGTTCCCAACCATCTCTACAAACTTGGAAACCTGGTTTTGAAATTATGTACATCTGCTTGCCCCAGGCTCGAAGCTGATGTTTACCTCAGGAAAGCTGCGAGGAAGCAAATTTTGCTATCAGCATGTGTTAGAACTTGCTACTTAAGTGTTTTTCACCAAGCAATTTTGGTCATAAGATACTGCATTGTGGTAGACAAAAGCTGTATTCTTGTATGGGAAAGTAATTTTGGGCACTTCCCCTCACTTTTTCTAACAGTCAGTGACTTTTTTCATACACTAAACTATGTGCTTGAAAATTAGCTTAGCCTGTAGGTCAGTCAGCTGTAAAATGGATACCTGATCCGGGCTGGGGAAATTGGGTGAAAAAGATTCCAATCGCTTCTCCGCTTCTCCGTTTATAGGCCGCAGTCCTTGGTAACTGGTGGGCCTTTGCCAAATTAGGGAACATATTACTTAAGCAGAGTTGCATCAGTTTTTTAAAAAAAAACAAGAACAGGAAAACACAGTGCTAACATTCAATTGTATTCTTTCAGTTACTTTGTGGTGGTGCTACACTGCTAAATGTTATGCCTTATTCACACAACTGCCCTGGCACAAGACATTTAGCTCTGTTGCCATTAATGCAATGCTCTTGGCCACAGATATGTCACAACAAATCAGAGGTACCTTACTTTAAACTTCTTGGGTTTCTTCAATGACTTTACTTTTTTGGTATTTTGCTTTTGGAACTTTCCTTTACAAATCAGTTGTTCAAAAACTATAGATCACCTTGTCTGTTGTTCAGAAATTATATTGTATGTCATTATCATAGGCAAATAGAGCAGCTAAGAGATACCTACTAAAAATGATACCTGCCTTCACTTTCTTATGCAGCAATCCTACCCATTTGGCTGTTAAACCAGGGCAGAGGCAAGGTAGACCTGCTTTATTCTAGACTCATTACATGATCGTCCGTGGTATAAAGAGAAGGGGAGGAAGGACTCATTAAAACTGTTGACAGCTAGGCATTTGTGGAACTGAATATAAATAAGAGTTACACATATAGGTGGAGATATAGAGAGAATTAACGATTATTGGTGAACTCTCTGTTTGCAGTCTTTATGAAGCCACATGGGGAGTCATTGTAAATAATGCCACAAGGCACACAGTTGCTATGGAAGTTTATTGCATTTAGTACATTTATACTTTCATCATCATGCTGAGTTGTATCACATTGACTTGATCATATTGATCATCACTATGTACTGCCAGAAGCAGCCACATAGTGATGTCTATCAAGCTGGGCCTATAAGATTAAGTTACCTGCCTCATACTTTCTGTGTAAATATCTTGAGATTTATCAAGTTACTTAGCAAGTTTTCTGAAGTATCTAAAAAACAACAATGTACAACGGCATTATAAAAAAAAACTGTTTACAGGCTATGAGCAGGCCTATCAGAAGGTTGTAAAGCAAAGAAAAAACTTTGAATCATTAAGCTTAAATCCTAGCAAATCAGAAAAAACAAAGGGCAACATATGTGTTTTTAAAGCATTGGTAAGAAGAAATTATCTCAAATCTGGAAGCATAAAGTTGCCAATGAAATATTGTCAAAGAAAATGGACAGAGGTGTGAGACAAGAGATCCTTATTTAGTTTGATATACGGTGGGTGGTCTAATAAAATGTCATCTATTTTGTGAGACTAAAGTGTCATATAGAAGCAAAAACACTATAGTTTTAGGTACACATATAATTTTATATTTTTTTTCTTGACATCATGGCAGACACAGCCATCTTATTCAGGCCAAGTGGCTTGAGGGCCAAAAAGAGTGAGAAAGCCCAGATTATAGCTATTACTTTTATTGCTTTTACACATCTATTGATTAAATTACAGGAAGCTGACCAGTGGAAACCCCAGAGATGTGGAAATGCTTACCTGAGCCCTAATTTAGCACTCCAGCTAGACAACCAACATGGAACCTAGACACTGACAATTTTATAGCCTTTGCAGATCCAATTCTGAAGCATCCCAACCCTGAGGCAGGCGATCTGGTTCAAACATGATCTGGTCACTTGCCATGGTATTATGTTGTCCTATATACAGCCACATATCTTCTGGTCTGTAGTTTCTGTAAAACTCAGTCAGCTGGAAGAGCATGATGCTGCCTATGCTTCCTCAACCTGATCCCCTCTAGATGTACAACTATAGGTCGGCACATTGGTTGAGGATTTTAGGAATAGTGGCACTGCACATGTAGAGGGCACAAGGATGGGAAGGTTGCACTAAGAAGCTGGTACTAATGAAGTGTTCTATTCATCAGTAAACCCCACCCCACAAACAAAAAAGTGATAAAATAAAGCTGCTCTCATTTATTTTAAATAGTTGTCCACAAACTGATTTTCCTCTTTCCACCATAGCGGAAATATGTGAAAATTTGCTCTGTTAAAATAGAAACTGGGCTTTCAGCTTTTTATTAAGAAATGCACATTCCAAGAGCTACTTTACAATCAAGAGGGATGGCATGTACAAGTACTAAAATGATCTGCCATAGACATTGTCAGAGATCCCTGGAAGAAATCCCTTTGTTTCTGTGACATGTGTAATATTGTGAGTTAATGTATTTATGTAAACTATTGCAAATGTCAACAAAAGCAAAAAAGAAGTTCCTTAATGAACTCTGAAGTAGCCTTCTCTCTGTATTTCAGTCATCTACAAGTGATATGTTTTTAAAAAATATTATTTCCTTTCGCAGCACATATCTTGCTTTACCCATGTTTAAATGCTTTCATTTTTGCTTCCAGAAAGGAAGGGCTTTTCTACCTCCATCTTCCAGCTTGTGCTGTTCCGTTGTTTCTGTCTTGAGGCAAGAGCGG